CCATTATCTTTCTGTTCATTGTTGTTTGGAACGTTGTTGGTAATTGCATTATTTTGATGTATATTTTGTGCATTTTCATGATATTTTTTGGTTAATCTATTTATGACTTGATCAATTTGTTTCAAAGAGTAATTATTGTTCACGAGAAGTTTTTTTATTCTTAATAATTCTGAGTTTATGAGTGTATAATCAGAGCAATGTTGAAACGCTCTGTTAACTAAAGAAAATATAACACTATTTTTATATTGTTCTGAGGTCTCGCTTTTACCATTATGACAAAATCCCAAATTGGTGTCTTTTACATAAACTTGTGTTTGAAAACCAATGTCATTTCTGGTTATCAGGACATCCAAAAATGATAGCTGTTTATTATTTTCAATTTCATGGGTAAAGGAAAGAACTGAGTTGGATTTAAATTCATCAATTAGGTCCATCAAGTTGTTTTCATTTTCAACTATAATGAACGTATCATCAACATATCTTACATACATTTCGGGTTTGAGATGTGGTTTCTTTTGGAAAACAGTTTCTTCAAAATATCCCATGTAGAAGTTTGCAAACAACACTCCTAGAGGGGAGCCCATGGCTACACCATTAACTTGCTGATACATTTTTCCATCAGGATTGTAGAAAGGAGCTTCTTTTGTGCAGATTTGAAGTAACTGTTTTAGCAGATGTGGTTTAATTTTTAGTGGATTCATAGCACTATTATATACATAGTTTAAAATAATATCTATTGTGGCATCAACAGAAACGTTAGTGAAAAGAGATTCCACATCTATTGATGATATGATGCCTGATGATGATCTAGTTTTTAGGATGTGAATAAATTCTGATGATAAAGAAATGCAATGTTCATTTGGGATATATGGAGTTAGGATGTTGTTGAGCCATTTTGCTACATTATATGTGACTGTTGGTATTTGACTAATTTATTGGACGAAGTGGGTTGCCAGTTTTGTGAATTTTGACAGTACCATACATATAACCTGGTCTGTAGTCTCCGGTTAATAGCGGTATTTTATGTTCTGTTGAGTTAGCATTGATTTGTCGAATAATTTAGTTAGTTTTCGTTTTAAGCGATAGTGTTGGATTTCAGTATTTTTATATTTTTATTAGTTTTTAAATTTTTAGCAGCAATTTTCATTTCGTTCGTCAACAATTTGCTATTACACGAATTTCGTCTTTTGTTAGATTCACTTAATAATTCATTGGCTAATTGTTGATTTACTTTCACATTTCCTAATTGTTCTTGTTTCCAAATTTCATTTATCAGTTGCAATTGGAACATCATCAATAGTGACAACCCTAACAACAACATCAACAACACCAACAACAACATCAACAACAACAACAACAGCATGAACAATAACAACAACAACAACAGTGTCAACAATGTAGATACCAACGCCACAACCCACAGCGCAAATATCACTTGCAAATGGAACATCATCACAAGAAGCAAGAAGAACCACAGGGATGATAATGGAAACTCTTTTATTTTGGCCAAAATGTACATGTAATAAAATAAAATAAAATAATTAGAATGATATAAAGGTTTATGAAATAATCTACGATGCTCGCCATTGAATCAACATGCAATGAGTACAACGAGAAATTCAAAATCAGTTTAAAAATAATTATGTTGCGATCGAGTTTCTATCGCAATAAATAGCGTACGATGATGTTATTGCCGAGTTAATTAAATCATTGCAAAATTGGTCAGTCCAAATAAAATCAACAAACGATAAATAAAAATATTTAAAAAAGCCTAAAGGTGAAATTTCAAATGTATTAATAATTATTTTCGAATCTTTCTTCTCGTCGATCAAATTACTGTGTAGGTTTTTATATTTAGATCTTTTGTAATCCCTTGAACTAGAGAAGTTGGATTCATGACATATTGTCAGTTCCAGTATTTCAATTGTGTCCCCCCGGAGAAGTGCTATGTCGGGCCGAAACGATTTGAAGAGGGACGTTGTTGGGAGAAATTCGTCGTTCATCGTATCAGCAAAAATTGCAACTTCTGGTTTAGCAAATGATTTGATCTTCTCTAGAATTAAAGATAATATTTTGTTGTGGCGTGTTGTAAATCTTTTTAAAGCCGCTACTGAATCACAATTTGACAGAACGTGCTTGTTTGTCTGAAGCGCGTTACAAAGCGGGCATAAGGCGTTGGAAGACTTGCCCCATCTGGAAAGATTGGCATTTGTCGGAAGTTGTTGTATCAATGCTTTCCTAACGAATCTGAATAAGACCTCCGGAAGATCGGCAGTGAGCCTCGACCATCGGGTAACGTGGATTGGTGGAATGTGTTCTCTAACTGCTTTAATTATTCTTCCCTGGCAGGAAAGTTGCGACACATGATCGAAATCGGCTTCATGTTGACGAATCTTTAACGCACTGAGCGTCGATTTCACACTCTCTGAATCAGGAAGCATGTTGTCGATCTTAATGTAGTTGTTGTACGAATCACTCCACAGACAGTTTACATCTTTGTTGTCGTGAGATCTCAGATAATTTCTGAGTTTAACTCTGAGTGATTCGGCAAAATGTTTTAGCGATCTGATTTCCAGGCCCCCCAATTTGAAGGGGAGGGATAGACATTCAGATATACAACTGCTAATCGGGAGGGAAAGCCAATTCCTTACTGATTCCGCAACCATAGGATCCAGGTTGTTTCCAATCCACGTCAACGGCATGTCATACGTTCGAAGCTCAAAGGCCAACTGGGACGGAATATATCTTCGTAGTATTTGGAGTTTCCATTGGGGCGTTGTGTCCAACTCGTTGACGACTGACAGCATGTTTTTCAGCTTTTTAATCAGTAATTCTTTTGCCTTCGAGTTGTTTCCTTTAAAATCATAAATTTTGCCGAGGTATTCAAAATGACCGTTCATATCGATATGAGGGATTTGTTTGTTATCAATGGTCAGCCTCGGCGAAAATTGTTCATAGCCCCCGTTCTTCTTCCTCATACCAAACGAGCAACACTTATCGATCCTCATATTCATGCCGGTAGCTTTACACCAAGCTTGGTTCAAGTCGATTAATTTTTGAGCACCATCTGTGCTGTTGGCGATGATCGCTGTGTCATCCGCAAATTGAAGCCAAGCATTGGTTTTTAAGTTGGCCGTCGGTCCCCAAATATAACCGCATTGTTGATATTCTGTCTTTTCGATCAACTTCATCAATGGGTTGAAACACATGTTGAAGATTAATGGGGAGACGGGATCACCTTGCAGAACACCACGTCTAACCGGGATAGGAGGAGTAAGGTTGTCGCATCCAGAAACAGATATTGTGTAGTCGGCATATATTGCTTTGATTAAGTTGCTTATTTGGGAAGGGATGTGATGGTAATCTAGGGTTGATGAGATTATGTTGTGGCTGACTTCGCCAAATGCGTTTCGAAGATCCAAAAGAGTGACAATGACAGTTCGTTGATGTCTCTTTGCATCATTGAGCATGTGAGTTAGGAGTTGGGTATGCTCGGTCAAGCCATCAACTTTTGGATAAAAACCTTTTTGTATATTTTTGTTTATTAATGAATTAGATTCGAGAAATTTATAGATTCGATTGTTGATAGATGTTGAGAGTATTTTGTATAGAGTAGGTTGCAAGGTGATTGGACGAAAATTAGCTGGATCATTTGCGTCACCTTTTTTATGAATAAGTAAATAATAACGTTATAATAATAATAATAACGTTAACAATAATAATAATAATGTTTTTAAATATTGTCAAAATAATATTAATAATATGTAGCTAATTAAATAAATTAATTCGCGCTTCTCGGCTGAGCGTTGATATTTACCTTAACAACCATAATATAAACAATCTTGCCGTTAAAATTTTAAAAAATTTTAAAAATCGCGTTTTATATTGTTTATAGTTATTAAATTTACTTTATTGGTTTTCTGTTTTAATTAAATAATTTATATAAATTAATAATTACTTGTTCCTTTATATCAAATATCTTACATACCTTATATATAATGCACTGAAGATGAGTTATTTATAACTCGAAATAGCTATTTGCAAATTTATGTAATAAAAATTTAAAAAAAAACAATAAAATTTCTAATTTCTCGGAAATTAATAAATTAAAAAGAAATATGAAAAAGTTGAACAATGTTGAAAGTAGTGTTGAATTTTTGAAATATATATATATATATATATATATATATATATATATATGTGTGTGTGTGTGTGTGTGTGTGTGTGTCTGTGTGTGTCTGTGTGTGTGTGTGTGTGTGTGTTTCATTGAACTTATATGCCCACTCTGCGTTTAATAGCTTTTTAATAAGAATTTCAACACTGTATAGTTTTTGTACTGTGTTTATTTAGTTTCCATAAGTTTGTCGTCTTTATATATATAAATGTATTAATTAATTGACTGCATTTTCAAACAGTAATTTTTCAAAATAATTCATTCAATTCAACTTTAAGAAACTGGATAAATCGTTCGGTGTACAAGCAATTAAAATAAATTAATCTCAAAAATTTATAAAATTGTATAGACAACCCTAACTTATTACCAATGTACTTACAGGCAAGATAGAAATAAGAAGCAGGGCAGGCAGTTCTACGCGGCCTTCAACCTCGATATCAAAATTTCATACATGGAATCCATTTTGAGACGCGTTTTCAACGACTGCAACTTGCCCGAGTGAGTAACTAATGTGTGAGTAAATAAATAAATAAGTAAACAAATTCTTTAGAATAAAAAACATTTTGAAAAACGTTCTACTTAGAATTCGTTAGAAGTAGATTCGTAGATGCAGTATCAGCTTTATCATAATTCTAATCTTGTTAATTAAAAACAAAATTTCAAAGCAAATCCTTTTTTGATTTTTTTAAATTATTTTATTAACGCATATCGAAGATACACATGCACGGTGATAAACAGAAGCGGATTTGTTGTGTTGAGAATCAAAGCAAGCCAAAGTCTTACGTTTTGCCCCGTCACCCAAATCAACCAAACTAATGATAACAACATGCACATCAACTGCGAGGAACCTGACCTGGCCAACACTCTTATTGAGAAAAATATTTTAAAAGCTCAGTTTTGTGTCAACTACGATGACCAAAATCATAACATCACCAAATTTTGGAATGTAAGCAGTAACATCATGTTATATTTTATCAAAATTACGTAACGTATTTGAATGTTCCAAGTTTAATAGTTCATATTTTGAATGCACTTGGCGTGTGCACGTACACACCATTTATGTACCTAGACGTGTATTGCGTACAAACTCGAGATTGTTTTCAATTAAAGCTGCTTACGTTCAAAAGTTCCTCCGACAATACTTTTAGAAATTTTTTAATCAAAAAATAAGTTTTTTTGGTTTGTTTAAAGTTCAATAAAATTAATTAAACTTCATGACAGGTTTCAATGGATGGTGACAAAAACATTTTTGAAAATTTCCAAATTTATCAAATCCCCAACATGAGTATTTTTGTTATAGTTAAAAATGGGTCATCCAACAAGAAATCAAACTGTGACTGTAGTGAAAAAAATTTTGTAAGTTTTAAAATTATTCCATTAAATTGCTGAAAATATTTTGTCAATTTGGAAAAACCTTTCTTTGAAAGTCACTTTTATAAAATAAATTGCAGAAAAACATCATTGTAATCTTAATAAAAATAAATAAAAAATTTCACAATTCATAAACAGAAAGTTCCTTCGTGTGGCAAAGTGCTAGATGATTCGTGTGGGTACCCATGCTTCTTCACCAGGGACGTGTGCGATGCAAAGGACACAGAGTGAGATAAAAGTTTTTCAATTCAACCAGTAAAATAATTTGTTAAAATTATTTTTTTTAATTACTTAAAAAATGCAGCGCATATCCACCGTGCGTATACACGGACATCTTGAGGAACCCTGTTAAGACAAGAACAGCACTGTCCGAGGATGAAAAGCCGCCCATCAGTGAAGTCTGCCCATGCACCAACCTCCTATGTTCAAGTATTTATTGCATTAACATTTTATTGAGATGATTAATCCAAGATTCGTTTTTGCAATTTTTCAAGTATTTATTGCATTAACATTTTATTGAGATGATTAATCCAAGATTCGTTTTTGCAATTTGATAAAACTTGAATATAATTATGTACGAAAAAAAATTTAGACGTTAGTCTTAAGTTATTAACGGAATTTTTCAAAATAATATTTATGGTTAATTTAAATATATGTAGCAACAAATTTGGACCTGTCCCAAACACCACGCTCTACAACAACAACCACGCTTAAAACAACATCAACGATACCAACTATTCCTACAAAACCATCGACGCCACAGAGAAATTCATCATCACCAATAATACCAGCAACACCAGTATTACTAACAACAACATCAACCAAATCAGCAACTACTTCAGAATTATCAACACCATTAATTGAACCACCATCAACAATATCATCAACAACATTATCATCAACAACGACATTATCATCCTCATCAGTAGCTACAGCAGCAACTCTTACATTTCCAACTAGTACTACTTCTTCTAATAAACATGATTCCCTCTCAAGTTGGAACACTGTGACCAGCGCAGCACCAAGTAGTGATATGAGCCAAACACAAACACTTGTTCCTCCATCATCTCCTTCTTCCTCCAGAGAACTTAGCGTGGGACTTGGCGTTGGTCTGAGTCTTCTGGTTATTGTTCTTATTGCAGTTGGTCTTTTGTTCTTCTTCAAGCGCAAAATGCTTTTGAGTAAGAGCGGACCATTAAAAGATCACATCACGCATGTTTGGGTCGGGGAAATTGAGTCTAAGGTCTGATTATTCACCAATTCGATTTTTTTGATAACTTTAATAAAATAAATTCCATGTTTGAAATCGATTAATATGCTAATTGTTGTAAATTCATTTGCTAACGGAGCTATTCAAACATGAACCATCAACAAAACAGTTTGTCCTAATGTATTGTTACGACGAGTTCGTTTAATCCCAGTGAAAAATTAAGACAATACAACTTGCAAATTATTGATTTAATTATTTACAAAACAATAGTTAATTAATTAATTAATCAATAATTAACGCTAATTAATTTTACGAATAAAAAAATTATTTTTCACAAACTATTAAATTAACGTTCGAAAACTATGGCTTACCGAATAACGTTCACTAACGTTTATAGCAAACACAATAAAAATACAACGCAGAGTCAAATATCAAATAACGATTTCGACACTAACAATCTATCGATCTCTACCTTGTTTACCGACGCTTCTTGAAGGTCCTACATATCTCGTTGTCAAAAGGTTCTAGTTCATTCTCGACACTAGCACCTCTAGCAAATATATTTGTGACGGTTATAACAGTATGTTAAATGAACTTTTATTAGGAGATGACATGTGCGTGCATTTGCATCCTTTTCGTTGAAGAACAAGATAAAAAAAAGCAGCTGCAGACATACAAATTATCTATTTAATATATTATACACAATAAAGTTATATATAGAATGATATATACGATGTACTTCAATATTTTATTTGACTAGTGAACAGGAAGTTATTGCAAACTTGTAAAGCCACCGTAACGAATCATGAAAGGAAGAATAAAAATTAAAAGTGACTAGGAAAAATATTGCAGAAATAATGTCAACATATGCGTTTATTCAAGTATAAATAGTTATGAATAGAATGATAAACTGAAAAAATTGGTTGTTGACAAGCCTCATTCCTATTATGAATTTTATAAAAGATTTCAAATATTATGATAGCATTTTGAAGACATATAATATCAACAACATCAGAAACATTTAAGATTTTATTTGAATAATTTCATGGCACGTTATAGCACCATGTATGGAAAGTAACTTGTCATAAAAACTTGACACAACAACAACAATATATACAATAATATATATCATAGTATAAATTACTATTATTAGAGAATTAATATAGCGTTCTTTATATACGATAATATATATTATCAAACTCATCAACATTCTCAAACCTACTTGAGCGCGTCATATTGCTAAGACTACGTGCCCACCTAATGTCCAATCATAACTATCCAAATCTTCAATCTGCTTATCGTTCTCATAAAATCCCCAACATATCTATACGACCTCATATCCAGACATGAACACACTAGATCACTCCGCAGCAGCTCAACAGGTTTCCTAAACATTCCCGTTGCCGGATCCCGCCTGGCTGGCCACGGTTTTCGTCACGATGCTCCGTATGTCTGGAATGCGTTACCTCCTGAGTTAAGACAATGTTCCTCGTTGAGTCTTTTCAAAAAGGGATTAAAGACTCATCTTTTTAACACGGGCTCCGAGCGCCTCTGAAGCAGCTGTGCGAATGGGCGCTTCATAAATGTTTATATTATTATTATTATTATATAGTAATATATACGATAACATATACAATAACATATACGATAATATACAGTGGCGATCCAGGTAACGTTGACGGGGGTGCCAAGAAAATTTAAAATGTTTTGGATTTTGACGGGAGGAACCGAAAAATTAACCAAATAGTCGCTAAATATAGGCTGACACTTTATTTGTTATTACGCCAATTTTTATTAATATTGTTTTTATTATTATTACTATTATTATTGTGAAAAGACATAAAAGCAAGGCATTAAATCAACTCTAAAAATGGTGAAATATATAAAATAGGCAAATACATAATTGAGTAAATATGGACACATGCATGCCAACTTACTATAACAGAATAAAAATAACAAAACGGTAATTATTCTACGTAAAAAACTTACAACATTATCACAAATTTATTTTTCAGGCAAACAAATCCACCATCCTATTGTTACAGACATGAGATCGAGATAAAAAAAACTAATAGTTTAAAATTGTTAAGCATGCATTAAGGAATGAACCGCTTGTAAATTAATCAGAAGGTATAAATAATAATAATAATGTCATTTAAGAGCGCCCTATGCATAGCGTCAGAGGCGCCCGGATAAACAAATGTCAGCACGGCCACCAAAGGCCTGTTCAAACAGATGCTGCCTCAATCGCTTTTTAAATGTTTCTATTGATGATTGTTGACGGATGATGAGTGGCAAACTGTTCCATGATGAGCAATGTGAGAAACCTTTATTGACGAGAGCTGATGTATTGGCTAGGGTGGAGTGAATAAATTTTTTTTAATTTTAATATTCCTGTACTGCCAATCAATGACCCATTGTCTAAGATGTGTTCGCGCAAAATTTAAGCTTTCTAAATCAAAATCTTCAGGTGGCGCATCTGGTTTTAACTTTGAAAAAAAAATCAACTTTTGATTTATTGACGGAACTTTATTTTACACAATGCTTCTATATATTTTATATTCTGATACTTAAAATTACTAGTACATTTGATAGTTATTATTAAATCAAAATAAAAAAATTGTTCTAATGTCGTAATTCCAAAGTCTCCGCACCTTGTTTTTTACCAAAATACTGAGATTTGGTGTTGAAGATTTGTATATCTTGCCTGACTTTTAATCTGGTTCCAATAAGTCCATCTCTAACTTCTGGTCCACAAACAGATATAGAAGCCTGTCACGAGCTTGACGCACCTTTCTACTGCCTGAGTGTGGCAAGGATACTTTTCAATTTCAAGAAGACATTTTGAAGAAATGTCATTGGAAATTTCTATGTCGCTATATTTTATTGCCAGTGGAGGTTCTGTTATTTTTTCTATCGCCAAATCTATTAAATCATAATAGCTTGATGCATCAATCTCAAGCTCTGGAAGTTTGAATTCACAAACTTTCTTCCCTTTGGATTCTTTTCTTGGTTGTAAAATTCTCCAAAGAGCCAGTTCACTTATGTGTTTTGCATCACCTTGTAAAATAGCTAGCAATATATTTTCTGGATGAGCGAAGAAAGCATTTTTTTGAACGGTTTTAAAGACAGTGTTTTTTATGTCATCACGGATATACAAACACCTTTTAACCATGTTGTTCAAATTTCATTTCAAGAAAATCAAAAATGCTTTTTTCAATCGTATTTGCTTTTCCAGAGTCAATAGAGAGATGACCGATGTATTCAGAATCTGGCTCTTAAAAGAGAGAAATATGCTCCTCAGTAATAGTTTTTTGATGTGCTGTATTGTTAGTAGTAGTCATGACTAAAGTCTTGTCTTTACGACCGTTGAAATAAATTGCTGTAATAATTTTATTGCCCTCAGCATCCCAATAGGATTCTTTATGTAGATTTTCGCCGGGCGACATTCGAATTCCGCACCACGCGGTCCCGAACCGCGTCCGCCTACGAATATCCACCTGAGCCTTCGCTTCGGCGGAGTCTTTCCTGGCCGGGATCCGCCACTCTACAATAGACCCTCTCGGGGTCTGAAAACACGGGCCGGGCGGAAGTTTGTTCGCGCCCTGCTTGTTGACTAGAGACGCCGACCTCGTCAACTATCAGCAAGTCTTTTTCAACATCCATTATTTTAGGTAGAATAATTAAACCGAGCCAAACTTCAAGTGTACACTTCTTTTATTCAATAAAAGAAATAAAATAACAAACAAAATAATACAAATCAAACCTCTGTCTTTATTAAAACAAAACGATAAATCCAAAATTGATCTATTAATAATACAACTACCAAGCAAGAGACAAAACTTAAAATCAAAATAACAAACGACCAGCCTCCTATATCTCAACTCGCGGCCTTTTATATGTTTTTACCGCCCTATCTACATAACGCTTTCTATATCATAGAAAATTCTATACTCCTATCTATACTCTTTTCCTATACTCAGAAAAGCGATACAGCACAGCAGCGTCGCATATATAGCATATCAAATAACAAAATATACATGCATAGAATGTCTAGTAAAATATATAGATATATATAGGCGGCACGCCTCAAAGACGCAATCATTATCATGACAATCGTCACAATTTCACAAAATATACAGGCGGCATATTTCAATCGCGCAATCATTATCATGACAATCGTCACAATTTCACAAAATATACAAGCGGCATATTTCAATCGCGCAATCATTATCATCACAATCGTCACAACTTCACATTTATAATCTATCTCTATGTCTTTCTTCAATTATCGCTTGGTCTGACTATGTGTCTTAAACTTATTCCTAATAAATTTGAATTAATTTGTTTCAATGAATCCAAACACTCTATTACGATTCTTCCTATTATCTTAGCTGATTCTAAAACTATTGATGTTTCTCACAAGTTTCGTAATCTAGGCTTTATCTTTGATTCTAGTATGTCTATTTCTTCTCAGATTAATAGTGTTGCTAGAAGTTTTTACTTTCATCTACGTAGAATAAAAAACTTTTGCCTTTTCTTGATGATCCTACTCTTCTCCTTCTTGTTACTTTGTTGGTCTTTACTAGTTCGGGAAAACATCTTTTGTCACAAGACTTTAACATTTTATACAGCACGATCTGATCTCTTCTAATCCTATGTATCGCAAGATAGGTTGATGCAAAAATTTTAGTCATTCTTCGTAATTCGTGTGAGCACATTCCACTTTCATCTTCGTGACTTGCTTCCCCACCTTTTTGATTGACTCCACATCTCTTACTGTCGAGGAAGACCATACTGATGCTCCATATTCTAGTTGAGATCTGAATAGAGAATTTATTTAATTAAATAAAAAATTTTTTATTATCAAAGCTGAAATGACTGTTAATTCGACCCAACAATGAAAATGCCTTATTTATACTATATCGAATGTGGTCAAAACATTTTAAAAAACATCATGAGTTATTCGAAGGTCTTTAATTTTATCTCCGTACTGCAAATAATAAAAAACAATTTTGTACATGAAATTATTTAATTTACATGATCCAAACGTCATCAAAACACTCTTTTCTTCATTCAGTTTCACATCACCCTATAAACACTACCCAGATCATTCACAACGTTTGGCAAAACATCTCCGTCACCAGCGGGCCTAATAATTCTAAACAGTTCTCTATCATTAAAAGTTAAAGCAAACAAACTCATTCAATTAATTATTATTATATAAAATCAAATTACGTAGTTCTAGCTGTTACATATTTTCCAATTAAATTTTTATAATGTTTAAAAGATGATGCAGACCTTATGTCATTAGGCAATGTATTCCACAACTATTACTAGTTGCTTACATTTAAGCTGTCTCCTTTTTATAAAAAATTGGCTTCACTTTAGCAATCTTTAATAATGAAGGAAATTGACCAGTAGACAATGATAAATTAATTAGATAGTTAACGGTACCACTATGGATGCAATAGTCTGTCTAATTGTGTAATTTGAAATTCCATCATGACCCAAAGTATGTTTGTTTTTCAATTTACTAACAACTTGAATGACTTGAATTTTATCAACATACGAAAATCCGTTAAGTCAATTTTTCCAATTAGGTAAAATAACAACTCGTTCAGCACAAGAAAATTTCCATACTTAGTACTTCCACTCTTTTTTGCAGCCATTTTCATGGCTTCTGTAATATTATCACCGAACCGGAGACCGGGTGATGGCATGCGGTAGGAGTCCAACAAATTTGAAGCCAAAAACCAACAGTATCAGATTAATTGAAATGGAACGAAAGAAAAAACAAATTAAATCTAAAATTTATAAAATATAAAATATAAAATTTATAAATTTAATTTGACAATACGAAAATTTAAAAAAAAAGCTGATGACGTAAGCAAGAAAGTCACATACATCCATTCATCAAGCCAGCCATCCATATATCTATCTATCCATCCATTCATCCATCCATACATCCATCCATCCAGCTACCAATCTATCAAACAAAATCTATCTTATCTATCAATTAATCAATCAATTTCACATTCACCGCATTTATTAATTTTTAATTTTATCAATTAATTTACAATATTACCATGTACAACTTTATCAAAAGCCTCCTCAAAGCCTGTTAATGAATATAAAAATTGCTACAAAACTCAACGAAACCATCGAAAATGCTTCATTCATTTTTAACAAACTCATTGTATATATCCTATTTAACCGACGCTGTTTATGTGATTCAGAAAAGTGCATAATTACATAATGCATAAGGCATGCCTGCCTATATCTCGTACTGATGTGTATATATCTGAGGGAATCTTTATAAGTCGTTGAAACTTCTGAATTTTGTACAAGAAAGAATTTTTTCAAGCAATATATTGTTATAATACTCGCTGTCGTAACCGATTTACGATGCGACGGGTTCAAATCTTCGATTGAATAAAATACTCCAAACAGTTATTAGTTATTAAACTTTATTTACAGAAGAAATCAACTAATCGTTTATTTCTAGCAAATTCAAATTAACGCAACAATTAACTTTTAAATTGTTTAAAATCTATCGCTATGACAACGTCAACAAACAAATCAAATATCGCTATAAATAATTCACCGAATCGCTATTCACGAAATCACAAAATCACGAATTTCACTAATCACGGATTTCACTAATCACGAATCTTCTTGCGACGTGCGCTTATATACTCTTCGCAAGCGTCGTTTCCAGATTCTTCCAGATGGTCCGATTCTAGCATACTCTAGAATGCTCCAGTCACTAGAACATTCTAGAATACGCTAGAATCTAGTGCGTTCGGTAGCACGGTTATAAAAATATATTTAAAAAAATTGTATTATATAAAAAAATTGAAATCAGGCCTTATCTGCATGTTGAATTCGGATAACAACAGTTTCATTAAATTTTCATAATTTTTTTTAGTCTTTATTATTGCAGCTCTGACATACGCAGAACCACTTACAATGTTACAGATATATTATCTTTATATCTTTTATTATGTTCTTCAAATCCTCATCTATTAATTTGAAGCAGCCATCTTTGCCACAAAGGCTGTTTTATCATTTAAACACGACGTACACAAGTATTTATGTTCACGCGCAAGCACCGCATCATATACGCTGAGTATATGATAGCCATTGAGATGTTTTGACTCAGCGAGCATTTGAACCACTGAGCCATTTCGCCGGCCAACATGCGACAACTTACGTCTTCGAAAAGATGGACGGCTGGGTTGGCCGAGGGTTGGCTACCCGGATAAACCTGTAGAAACTGTAGGATTCGAACCCGGGTCGTGGGAGTGGTAGACGGACACGCTAACCACTCGGCCACGAGACCCTCAGAACTTGATAATGAACTTGAATAATTCTATTTTTAACAAATTGAACGATTTCCAGAAAATTTTAGTAAGGAAAATTGAAAGACAAACTATAAATTGATTAATGCCAACAATTCGGTAGAATTCATACAATACTGTATTTATTTATTTGTTTTTTATTAATTTCAAATCACATACCTTAAGCCTAATCTAGGCTTGTATGGTCTAACAAAAAATAAAAAAGCAATGTTAAACCAATAAAAACAGAAAGTTACTAAAAAATGAAACAAAATTTAAGTCTATATATATATATATGTATAACAAAATACCTTATACCATATATATATAATATAAACCTTATATATATATATATATATATATATATATATATATATTAAATTTGGAGTTATATATATATATATAATATATTATATATATATATAACAGAAATTACTAAAAATTGAAACAAAATTTAAATCTGAAAAAAAATAAACGGAAAACCAAAAAGTTATGTAAAATAATTAAACAATAATATTTTAATAACTTTTTTCTTAAACCTTTCCAAACTAATACCCGATGTCAAATCAAAATGGAGCGATGCCCACAACTTTATACCAAAATTTAAAACAAAATTCGAATGTAGTACAGTTCTTGATAGAATAGGACGATAAATCGGGGTATGTCGCAACACCTGAACACCAGCCGAAGAGGAAGTCACCAACCAGGAATGAAACTGAGAATGCATATTTAATACGATTAACCTATAGAAAAGTAATAAAACTCTTAAAATATACAATTGATTAATGGATAATAAGCCAGACTGTGTAAAGTAAACAGAAATATGGTCAAATTTCATTAAATCATAATAAATTCTAATAAAAAAATTTTGATAATCAGTTAATATTGACACATGATATTTAATCTGCCGACCCAAATAATAATACCATGTGTGAGATAGGGATAAACTAGAGATAAATAAAGACTAATAAGAATATGTTTCGGAAATAATACCTTTAATCTATAAATAACACCTTTTGGAAATGTTTTTCGGTATATATAAGATATGTTTTTTCCAATTTAAGTTACTGGTAATAATAATACCTAAAAATTTAATATATTCAACTCTACTAATGATACAGTTATTATACACCATTGAAAAAAATTGTGAATTACTTACGATTTTAGGACCGTACAAAATAACATTAGTTTTTGAAATATTAATTAATATAATATCAAATAGTTACAGGACATCCATTGAGCTAGATTACCAAGTTCAGTATTCAATAGCGTTCTCACTCATGCACCGAGTTACCCCTTGCTACTATGGTCGTGTCGTCAGCATACATAAACTTAAGGGAGGAGCTAACATTCACTAAATTGTTAATTGTTGAAAAACAATGGACCAAGTATTAATCCTTGCGGTACTCCACTATCTATTGGTAGCAAATTAGATTTAACGTTTCTAATGAGTACATATTGTTGACGATTTTTTAGATAACTCCTACACCAACTCCAGGCAAAACCACGAATTCCATAATGATAAAGCTTTTCTAACAACAAATCATGATTGATGGAATCGAATGCCTTCGATATATCTATAAAACAGACCCATTGTTGATAACTTTAAATCAATGCTTGATGAAACAAATTGCATTACGTCTAATACTGCTAAATCAGTAGAGAGTCTTTTTTAAACCCGTACTGACGCGAGAGCGAAAATTTTGATATTTTTGAATGTAACAGTTTTTCCAGAACTTTTGAGATCGATGATACCAGAGATATAGGACGATAATTAGAAACAAGATCAGACAGACCTTTTTTCTGAATAAGAATAATTTTTGTTATTTTAAGACCTTTAGGATAACTCGCTGCAGAAAATGATAAATTGATACAGAAAGTTAAATGTTCCTAGATACTGTCAATTATTTGTTTAATAGTTAAATTTGATACATTATCATCTCCAGCAGATAAGGAATTACTGAAATTATTGATTACATCTAAAATCTCCTTTGAAAGTATCTTGTCAATAAAAAAAGATCTAGTGTTAGGGCTTGACATAAATTAACCATAATCTTTTGAAGGTTTAAAAATTGTATTATTATTGTTTTTGGAATGTGTTGAAGGTGAGTTTACAAAGTATTTATTGAAATTTTCAGCAATCTCAAAGAGGTCAAAATAGTATCATCATCATCTTTAATCAAATTTATTGATCTACTTGAAAACAAATTGTTGATTATTTTCCATTTTGATTTGATATCGCTTCTATTATCATCAAATTTTTTCTTATAGCACACGTATTTGGCTCTTTGTTTCATTCTTGTAAATAGATTTTTGTAAGACACATAAATCTTTTTATTTTCACCAATGGGGGAACGTAGATATTTTTTATACAATTTACTTTTGTGTTTAAAAAAATCAACAAACCCGATGTAAATCAAGGATTTATTCTATTTGTTGATACTTTATATTTCTTTAACCCATTATCTGCTGCGGTTTTTTTTTTATTTTCACATATATAATAGCTACTGAGGAAAAAACACACAGGCATTTTTTATTTTTTTGAAATTTCTTTTTTTAAAAAAGTTAGAACGTTTTTTAAAAATGTCCTTTATAAAAGACACCAGCAGAATATAATACCATTAGATGAAACTCCAATTACATTAATTTTGTAGTTTTCTTAAACTTTTCTAAATGTAATCAAACAAAAAGAGCTCTAAGTTTAATATGAAAGAAGGAAAATGTATTTTAAAATATAAAAACATAGTAATATAAAGAAATTTAAAAAAATTATTGATGAAAATTTTGAGAACATACAATGTGCAATGGTATATGCTATACATGCCAAACAAATCAAATTTGCCTTTTTGCCACAATGACCACATCTCCTTTGCTTAGGCATTGATTGTAGATGATGGCCATTAGATGATCTTTGTATCTCATTATCAACTTTTGTTTTTTACTTGACTTGGAGGACATTTTCGGTAGAAAGTTTTTTCTATCTGATATTCCTTCAAATATGTATTCACAACTTTTCTTTTAAATGACAGCAAGTAATGACTAATAATCCCATTTGCAGGAAATTTTCGGTAGAGCAAGCATGCATTGTTCGTAGCAGCATCCAAGAGAGAAGCAAACAGTGGCCACCAATATTTTTTACTTCTTATTGTAATTCTGTATTGGGCAACATTTTGATGCATGCGATCAACACCTCCCATTGAAGCGTTATATCTATGCACAATGTGTGGCTGATCTAAAGTTACATATTTTTTTTTGCTGGCCATCTTTTAACATTTGATAATGGATAAGCCCCAAAATTATTACTCGCCAGTGTAACAACTGAGTTGTCATTCCATGACAAGATATAAATATTGTCTTGTTTATCTAGTCGGTAATCAAATGACCCTCGGCTTGATTTTGCTAAGGCTTTAGCATCAATAGGGCACTTGTCTATACGATTTGATCTAACGGTTCCAGTAGCTTTAACATTTATTGTTTTCAAATATTTTAATAGTGGCAGACCGGTAAAAAAAATTGTCAAAGAAAATATGCTAAGGAATGTTTGCCGGAAGTTTCTCTACTAGATTTGTCACTATGGAATATTCCAGGTCTAGTGACTTATCATACTGAGATTTAGAATCCAAATATGCTGCATATCCTAAAGAGGTTGCAATGACCCATTGTTTGAACCTAAATCTAATTGGTTTAATTCTTATGCATTGTTTCAACCCATAATAACCATAGTATGGAATCATACTTACATCAACACTTAGATTTTCTTCAATGAGGAAAAACTTTATAAATCTTTCATTGACTAAATTAAATAATGGCTTGATTTTGCTTAATTTGTCATTTTTATCTAAACTGTCATTATCTGCTTAATGTAAGTACATCATCATGCTATCAAATTATGGTTTTGAACTAAAGAAAGTTGAATACGATTTACGATCAACCGTTAGAAAAATCGAAAAAAAAAATTGGAAGTTAGCTAACGCCGAACATGCTGTGATTTTCATCAATATATATATATATATATATATATATATATATATATATATATATATATATATATATATATATATATATTATTTTGAATTTTAATAAACTAAACGTTCACCAAAAAACTTTAGTGAGAAAAATCGAAAAAACGAACTACAAACATGTTAACGCCAAACATTCGGTAGAATTTATAGAATATTATAAAAATTATGGCCTATTACCAACATATATATATATATATATTATATATATATATATCAATGTATATATATATATATCAATATATATATCAATATATATATATCAATATATATATATATATATATATATATATATATAGTCAATATATTGATTGCTTGAAATTACAAAGATATACAAGAAGAGCAACATGCATGCCATAGAGAAACGAACGATTATATTTTTTACGTATCAAAACAAATTTTTTTCTCGTTCGATCGGATGCAATTGACGGTGTTTTGATATCCTTTCAGATGAAATGATGTATTAATAGAAAAGAGTTGTTAAATTGTTAAGTCGCGTAATGTTATGTCGCATGCATTTCAAAATATTTTATAAAGGAGCCATTAATATTACGTTACGTCATTCTATCATCACACATAATGTTGATTTGTTGGAATAAAAGATGAACAAACGATCTTTGATTATTGATAGGAAGAAAGTTTTTATTTTGATTTAAAAATATTTTTAACAAAGTGTTGGATAATCAACGATAATCAACAATAAATGGTCGTGCGCACGTTTTGACAACGGCACTTCACGATTTAACTTACTTCACTATTAAATAGTGATGAGCTTTTGTGAGATGTCATTTTGAACTGGTATGCTCAAAGGCAATAACATACAGCGTCGTCGCCAAACTCAATAGCGGAAGTGATACAATGAAGATGTTGAAAAGGGTGGTGTGGTGGCTGATGGTCGTGATGGTGATAGCGAGTTTCAAAACAAACATCAGCTGTCGATCGAAAAAAATCTCATCAACCCACAATAAACCATCAATCGCATCAATCACACTAATTGCATCAGACACGACAAGCAGATCAGGCACATCAATCTCATCAAGCAGGTTCACGATCTCGCCAAGTAACTCTTTCGATTGAACTGCTCATGTCATTCATTTGAGATAAATTTTTATTAAACAATAAATTTTTATTAACAATATAGATATTACAAATTTTATTAGTCACACACCGTACATACAATTACATCATTCAAAAATAAAATGGGTAAATCCGTAAATACAATAAAATACAACCTCACCTTAGAAGGTTCAAAAATTTAAAAAAGATCATCTCGCTTCAGAGGTACCTACGATAAACTTGAATACGTGTGAAAACTCTGTCATTACACTGCATATGATTGGCGGGAATGTGTTTGCATTCAAGCCACCAGGTCACTATAAAGCAGAGCAAGCGTCTTCAATCGTTACTCGATCACGCCGCCCAACTACAATGAAGTGAGGTGGGTGAGGCACTGGTGTGAAAGGAAGAAGGCTCTTCAAGTACATGTCGGTCTTGTGAAAGATTTACGAGGGCAACTATTGCAAGAGGCTGATGAGAATTCAATTTTTTTTTAATACTCTTGGTTAGGTGTTGATTAATTTAAAAACAGTTTCGACAAACATGCACATCAACAAGGGCAATCTTCAAATTGGAGGATTTCGTTGGTGGGTGACGCAACAATTTGATTGTACAGATGTAGACCAGCTTTGGTGCTCTTGTAAAATTTGACAGCTAAAAAATTCAAATCTTTTTGATATAAGAAAAAATAAAAAAACAGACACAAACAACAAGCATTGAAAAAATGCAAAAATTGCATCTAAATTCATGCCATTATTTTTGAAATAAAAATTTAGAATGAAAGACTGAAAAAAGACTTTTAATTAACTAATTTCTAATAAATTACTTTAAAAGCGAATTTTATTTTATTATAAGCCGGTTTTTACAAGGCGAAGGTCTTAAAAATGTTGGGAGTCAAAGTGAGAAAATTTTTAAAAGAGTTTGACAAATTGTTATCTATTAATAGCTTCGACGCCCGGCTTTGGAGAAAAAGTTATCACTATGGCACAGAATTTATAGTAAAATTAACATGAAACATATATTTTATATAAATCATCTTAACCGTGAGTTAAATATTAAATAAAATCTCGTTCTCGATATTAAATTAAAGTTAGATAATCTAAAAAACCAATTTAACAATCTCAACAATAACGAATATATTAGAATTCACTTAAATACCTGGTTAAGACAATGTCGTTCATCACATCAACGCCTTGTGTTAATCAACGCATTCATCGAAAATTAAATTCTCTCCTTAAAAAAAATGACAATATTAATAACGAAAATTATAACAATTTAAGTGATTTTTTGTTAACAGATAGACAAAAAAAGGTTTTAAATCTCGGTATAAATTGTCATTATCTCAAAAAACCAGGTAAAATTGATAAGCAAATCGAAGTTGAAAAATTGATGAATGATATCCACAATCTTGAATTTAAACAAAAATTAACTGTCGTTCCGACAATTTCTATACTTCTACAAGCTGAATCTAAAAAAGCAAATTGATGAATGAAAAAATGAAAACCGCAAATGAAAATCACATCGTAGATCTAATTAAAAATGTTTTCAGTAAAAAGTTACAACGTATGAACCAAAACAACAACAACACTAATAATACTGTCACCATTATCAACATTTACCATAAAGGCAATAACAATAACAACTATAATAACAACAACCACAACAACGGTAATTATATTAACAACAATAACAACAACGGCAATTATTGACATATTAACAATAACAACAACAATAACAACAACGATAATAATATTAACAACAACAATATCATGAAGAAGATAATCATTAATAATATTAAACCAACTAACCCGAACGATAGAATAAAATTAAGAATCGTTTACAAAAACTACAAAACATCTAACCTTTTTGCGCAGTTTTTAATATCCAAAATCGTCAAAAGGATCTTATTTTGGCAATTTGAATACCTATTCAAAACAGCAACAGAGCTTCAGTTGGATAATACATGTTTATTTGTTTGACGTGCGTTGCATAAAGGAAACCTTGGTTCAGACGATCTAACCCATCTAACAAAGTTGGAATTTGTTGAAAGTTGTTGGATTACACTTTTCCTAACAAATCTGAAAATGACCTCCGATAGCAAGGCCGTAGATTTTGACCAGCGAGCAACTTGATCTGCTTTGATGTGTTTCGTCACTGTCTTCAAAACTATCCCTTTGAAACTTTGTGATTTTAGATGTGTGAACTGCGTTTTTTGCTGGTTGTGCATCAAATTCTTGAGAGTAGGATTTATATTATTAGAGTCTGGGGCATGTTGTCTATTTTTTATAGTCGTTAAATGTTTCATTCCACAGACTTTTCATTTTTTTATAATAATAATAAAAACTATAATAATAATAAAAACAATGAGAACTCTTTAATTCAAAGCCAAGGTAATAAATTATCAAAACTATGAAATGGTAAAATTATGAAATGTCAATATAAAACCACTATGCTCAATTCACAATAAAAGTACAGAGCGGTGAAATATTTTCAAATTTATATCATAATATGTTTTTGTCGCAATCATTGCCATATGATAACCTTATAACAGTCTCTATCGACTCAACATTAAATGAAACCGGCCACATAATTTTAAACATTGAAAGATTAAAGTTATTATAGAAACCAACTGGAGATATTTCAAAAGCATTTACAATTATTGAGCAGTGTTTATAATTGTCATTTAAATAGCTATGCAAATTATTGCAATATTTATTTATTTTATATTGTCTGGATAATTCTAAGTTGCTTTCATGACACACTGTTAACTCCAAAATCTCAACTTTGTCACCTTGCAGTATGGGTATGTCGGGACGTAGGGTGTTGAACAGATCCGGTATAGGCTGAACACCGTCAAATTTCAAATCTGCAAATAACCGACAATTGGCAGGCGCACATATTTTCGACCGGTTGGTGATCGCGGCTAAAATCTTGTTGTGTCTTTCGGTGTATTTTGCTAGAGCGGAGGTGGAACTACAGTTAGAAACCACATGCTTATTTGTCTATATTGTAGGATTTATATTATTGGAGTCTGGGAGCATGTTGTCTATTTTTATTGTTATCGTTAAATGTTTCATTCTACAGACTTTTCATTTCTTTTCATAATGATTTCTCGATGTAAGTGCTGCTTTCGACACAGTCGACCACCAGATTTTATTCTAGCGTCTTTATGCTTCATTTGGTATTGGTGGAGATGCTCTCAGGTAGTTCCAGTCTTATCTAACAGACAGATCTCAAGTTGTCAGCGTTTATGGGATTGGTCTGGGCCCGGCTTCTTCAGAACTGATCTGTACCACAAGGTTCGGTACTTGGTCCTTTGCTATACATCATGTACACTTCAGATATCGTCAACGTCATCGAAGCAGCCGGTCTTGGCTGTCACCTATACGCTGATGATATTCAACTTTATGGATTTGGACCACCTGACTTATAACTTCAAGTCTCCTCTGCTGTGTCGAACGCAATGGACTTGGTTGGTCGCTGGATGTCATCTAACATGCTTAAACTCAACGTCAAAAAAACTCAATATTTGTGGATGAGAACGCTGCATGGTCTTAGCCGTTTAAATGACTACAAAAATCCATTAACGAATCTTGGAGTCATCATCTTTCATTTGAAAAGCACATTAGTCAACTCTGCCAGCGATGTTTCGACCAGCTCCACAGAATAAGATCTATCAGGCGTTTGATCCGATCGGTCTTTTCTTGAAAAAAAAACCCATAAATTGAGAAGCCGTGATGTCAACATTATCATAAAGTAAGCTATGGTTACCTTTACAAAGAATTTCGTTTACTACGTTCCATAGACCCTTTGAATCACCATTACTATCAGCAATCAACGTTTTCCAGTAATCATTTCTTTTTATTGAAAATAGTTTGGTTTTATTTTTCAAAGAAGCAATCCATTCATTTTGACTCACTGATGACAAACAACATCTGTATTTCCTTTCTTTACTTCGACAGTATCTTTTAGCTGCTCTACACTCATCATCAAACCACGGAGCCATAAGATCACTTCTATGCTCGATAAACCGGAGAGGCGCAATTTTGTCAGCAATCTTCCTCATTTCGTTATTTAAAACATCAAATTCACGATTCACATTTTGACTTTGACAAGGCTCATGCAGTGGTGAATTCATAACAAGCATGGTAAGTATATTTTCATCAATACGTTTCCATGACCTAGCTAATCTTGAAGTTTTGTTATTACATGCTCGAGTTATCGGTATGTCAACATGTATCAAGCTATGATCTGAGTAAACTCCACAAGGGAATAACCTGATATTTGTAACTTCAAAATTGTGTGAAGTAACTACCAAACCAAGTGTACCACCGAGAACGTGTGTTACTCATTGATGTAATTTGTTAATTGGAACATTTCAAACACTTCAATCAGATTAACGGTATGTCAATCTTTGTTTATTTCAACGTGTATGTTAAAATCACCAACTAACATAACATTCAAACTTATTTTCCAAAACACATATGAGTTCATCGAAAAATGTAAAACTAACTTGAGCCAAACCAGGTCGGTATAACGCCAGTAAAACAAAATCTTTATTATTTATGATCATTTTAATAGCTACAGCCTCGAACGTTGTTAGAACAGGTAGTTCAATTAATTTATATTTAAAGTTTGATCTATATTCCTCCATGCCGCGTATCATTTAATCTAAAAAAATCAACATAACGATATCCTGATGGTATAGATGATTTTACTGAAATATTGTCTGTTGAACCATGCCATGTTTCCACAAAAACAAAGATGTCCAAACTCTCTTGAATTAATTCATAAATAATATCAGACTTTGAGTTGACAGATCTTATATTAAGTATGCCAAGCAAAATGTTGCACTTATTTTTTGTTGCATCTTTATCAAAATCTTTAACTACTTTATTTTTACTGAGACAATTGTTTAAGTGAATTTTTTTTGAAACTGTATTATCTTCCATCTTCCAACTGGTCCTCTGACACGGTATAAAAAAAATTCTCTTTATCATCAGATTGCATTGATTTAGCTTTTTCAACAAACGTTTTATACTCCTGCCTCTGTTCCTTTGTCAAATCATCACATAGTCCAACACCGGCAAATTTATCAGCTATTGTTTTCATCTTGTAAACATTTCTCATTATTGAATTCTTAATCTTTGCATTTTCCAGCTTTATCAACAATGGTCTGACTACGTCATCACTTTTTTACCTAGCCTGGTAGTTCTTAGAACATCCTTCTCTGAAATGTCTTCAACCAAATGTTGCAATATCTTCATAACATCAGTGCGATCATTGTCGCTCTCAACTAAGCGAAAAACCATCAGGTTTGACTCTCTGTTTTTCATCTCATTCACTTCAGTCAACACTTTCTGAACGGTTCTAACTTCATTGTTAATTATTTCAGTATTTTTTTTAACTTCTTTACTGACAATGCTGGCGAAAGTAGTACTCATTTCTTGCTTTAAACTCTTGATGTCATGACGAATTGAAGTATCTGTGCGATCAATATCAACTAATTTATTTTCGTTAGAAGTTATCAACATTTTTAAACTGACTATTTCTGATCGAACCTGAGTGTTGACTTCATCCAGTTTCTCAAGTCTTGTTATCATCTCATTTTTGTTACTGTCAATTTTATCCAATATATCTTGTCTACTAGCATCAACTGATTTTGAGAGTGAATCTAAGTTGAACGGAAGCTTCACACAACTATCAGAGAACCATTTCAGACCACTGCAGTTTTTCAAAGCATCAAGTAAACTATCACTAGTAGAAATACACTTTACATGTACGACAATATCACAACGACTGCAACGTAATACACTATCCTTATCTTTGACATTTGTACCGCCTAAACACTTCGCACATTTAGGAGACATGTTTACCTGGATACAGTCATGACAGCGCTATAGGCTGAGCGTTGCAATTAGTCACGTGATAACAACAAATTAAAAAGCTTACAAATTTAGTTCAAACTCAACGAAAACTACAAATTAAGAGACTAAAGCTATATTAAATTAATCTTAAATTTTTTTTATAAACAAATTATCTCTTTTTCAATGAAATTATTATACAATTAAATTTATTTAAGCCAAAAATGTGACGAGCGAAATATCCGACCATTCACAACCAATATATAATATATATTATATATATTGGGTTTAGACTATCATAAATACAATTATTTATGAAGATAATTGTATAAATAATAAATAAATATAATTGCCGAAAACGCAGTGATCTTTATAAATAATTATATATATATATATAATAATAATAAAACTTTAATAAGAAAATAACCAATCAAATTAATAGAAAAAATCATTGGTGATTAACTTCAATACATTGGATAATAAATATAAAATCGCTGTTAAAAATATCGAAAAGCTCAACCTTAAACTTTCCAAAGCTTAAAATTCGAAAGATTTTATCAAATAATATGTGTGTGTGTGTGGGTGTGTGTGTTTAACCAATAATATATATGTTTGTGTGTGGGTGTGTATGTGTACATACACATCTATATTATTTATTTTTATTTTTTACCTGCAATTGATTTACGGCACTTTTAAAAACAATAGCATTTGGCGGTCGTCACCTGTGGCGCACAGGCGAACAATAAGAAACCTGAAGGCAGGCGCGCGCGTATTTTATTGACTCGTCACTTGAAGATGTAATAAAAATAAGGAGCTGCGTAGTAATGGAACGTCAGCAAGCGAAGGAACCTACTTAAAAACTTCAACAATCATGTCTGCTTCAAACAAACTGCCTGAATGAACGCTGCTTTTTTGTTTCATTAAATGATCCTTTATTTTATTTTTTATTTGTCTAGAATTTAACATATTTTAAATTTTATTATGGAAAGGACCGGCAAGTTGAAAATAATTTATTGGTTGTAATCATCATCATCGCCACCATTTATATTTTTCCATTTTATTAGAAAACCTCGTCCTCATTCTCTTCTTCTCTCTCCCCTTCTCTTTTTCTCTATCTCTTCTCTATCTTTTTCTTTTCGTGCGTCCGATTCAACAATTTAAGACGTAACTGCGATAATTGACGCAATATATTAATATTCATGTTTGTAATTCTTTTCGGCCATGCATGTGTAATGTAAGATGAGCCAAAGTTGATTGAGATTATTTTTTTCCTATTTCGGGATGAATATGTGGAGACATCTTCTATATTATTTTTCAGTTGATAGCAGGAAACATAAAACCCGTGGCAATTTTAACTGTTGGTAACAAAACTCAGAATCGGTTCCATACTAAACCACAATCAAAACGCAATTACTTTTAACGTTTATATTGTTAACTAAAATAGTCACACACACATACACACACATATATATATATATATATCATATACATGAGTTGGCGAGTTGGCTGCATTTCTAATTGCTCCGTGTTTTTCAAAGTTTTTCGTAGTTAAAATCGAGTATTTTTATTAATTTTTGTTGCGTTTGATAGAAGGATTTTCAAGGAATTCGGTGATGTTTTTCATTTTCGTTAATTAATTGCGGTTAATTTTTAATTTAATTTATTAATTTACAGTTAATTTTGATTTAAATTTGTTTAATTGTCGAGGTGTAAGACTATTATCGTAAGCGTTATAGGATAGTCGTTATAACTTGCGTTGTTTGTATTGTTAAAGTGTACATTCAGTTACGTTGTTTGTATCTAAATACAATGTCTTGTAATAATAACTGTCCGAAGTGTACGAATCCTGTTCAAAGTACTAAGATAAAGGAATCTGCGGATAAGGAGGGTTTTTTATACAGAGTAAGAGGTACGGTAAGAAAATGGAGAATAATAAAATTCCCCAAACGATTGGTGCAATAAATAGTTTTTGTGAATTAAATATGAATAAGATTGATTTAACAGGCAGTCATATAAAGAAAGATGTTAATATTATTTTGGGTTTATTAAATATAAGATCAATTGTTTCAAAGTCTGATGTTGTTTACCAATTGATTCAAGAGGGATTGGACATTTTTGTTTTGGTTGAAACCTGGCACGGTTCATCAGATAATTTTTCAGTGAAGTTATCAATGCCACCAGGCTATAGATACGTAGATTTCCTTAGAGTAGATGATCCATTCCACGGAGGACTAATTATATTTTTTATAATGCAATTTAAATACAAAGCTATTGATCTTCCTAAATTTACTACGTTTGAAACTGTTGCTGTTAATTTTATAATAAATGGAATAAATTTTATTTTGTTGGCTTTTTATAGGCCAGGTTCAGCAAATGTGAACTCATTGTTTTTTGAAGAACTTTTTTGTTTGCTGGAAAATATAACTGTTTTAAATTCAAATATCCTGTTAGCAGGTGATTTTAACGTTCATGTGGAAAGACCAGATGATTGTCCTGCCATCAATTTGATAGAAATTTTCGAAGCGTTTAATTTGAGGAACTTTGTAAATGAGCCAACTCATAGTCTTGGTGGCATACTTGATTTAATAGTTTGTTCACAGGATTTCCTTGTCACAAACATTAGAATTTTTCCCACTGACATTCATTCTGATCACAGTTTGATACATGCCGGACTACCACTGATGCGCAGATGTCCTAAAAAGGCTCGTAAATTGGTTAGATCTTGGAGACGTATAAATGAAGATGATCTGTTTATGTATGTCAAAAACTCGTTGTTATCGAAACCTTGCCAAAGTAATGATATTGATATTGAATTTGATAATTTAAACGAAGAACTTAAAAGGCTTGCAGACAAAATTGCACCTCTTCATATCGTTGAATATAGATGTGATGTTACTGCTCCATGGTATGATGAAGAATGCAAAATAGCTTAAAAGTATTGTCGCAAAATGGAACGAAAATATAGGCATTGTATGCTATCTGTGTATCGAGATGAATGGACTACTGCTCTAAAGAATAAATTCAAGATTTTTTCTCAAAAAAGAAAAGCTTATTGGAAAAATTTAGTTATGGTGAATCGCAGTGCTCCTAAAAATTTATGGGATATTATAGATAAACTTTTTTGTAAACAAAGCAATAATGATATGTCTTACGATAATGTTTCCATAGATTCTTCTCAGTTCATGAAGTTTTTTGATGATAAAATTGAAAAAATCAGGCAAACTACTAATGTTGGTAATAGGCCAGTTTTTGATCAAATCAAGCTAGATAATGATTGTTTGTTGTCTGATTTTTTGATACTAACAGAAACTGATGTGAAAAAAATTATACTTGGTCTGCCATCAAAAACTTGTATATCAGATGCTTTTCCAACACATATTTTCAAGAAATATGTGGACCTGTTTATTGTTTTTCTTACAAGTTTTGTGAACTTAAGCCTAACGAGTGGCATTTTTCCTCGACTTTGTAAGCATGCGGTTGTTCTACCAGTCTTGAAAAAACCGCATTTAGATAAAAATGATATGGCAAATTATAGACCAATTTCGAACATCTGTTTCATGTCTAAGATTATTGAACGGATTGTGGCTACAGAACTTCTAACCCACTTGAATAAACGTAAATTGATGCCTGTATATCAATCTGGGTACCGACGTCACCACTCAACAGAAACTGCTTTGATGTATGTATTATCGGAATTGTTTGCTGCAATTGACAAACAGCATGTTGCTCTGGTAACGTTTTTAGATATGAGTGCAGCATTCGACTGTGTTGACCACCAGATACTTTTAGACAGACTGGTTTATGATTTTGGAATTTCTGGTACTGTGTTTAGATGGCTACGATCATATCTGATGGGAAGAACTCAACAAGCTCTTTTTAATGGTGTATTGTCTGATGTGGGCACAATGTCTTCTGGGGTACCGCAAGGCTCGGTTCTGGGGCCGTTACTTTTTGTGCTATACACTGCAGAGCTTTTCAAAAATATTGATATTTTTGGTTTTAAGTACCATGCTTACGCAGATGATATTCAAATAGTAATTAGTGGTAATCCGGATACATTTCAGAGAGAGATAGACAAACTTGTTGAATGTCTGACCAGAGTCGATGAATGGATGTCAAACAACTGTCTCAAACTGAATCAACATAAATCGCAATTCCTTCCCATTGGCACTTGGCAACAAATGTCAAAACTCAGTATTGATTCAGTCATGATACAGAATGAGAGTATTACGTTTTGCAACTAGGCAGCAAATTTGGGTTGCATTCTTGATTCAGGTTTGATGATGAGTGATCATGTAAAGATGCTGACAAAATCGTGTTCCATACAGAGATTGAAAAAAATACGTAAATCACTGGATCAGTCGACAACACAGGCTTTAATACATGCATTTGTGCATTCAAGACTGGATTACTGCAATGGTTTATTTTATGGATTGTCAAAAAAGTCTATTGCTTCCCTTCAGTCTATTCAGAATAGAGCAGCCAAACTTGTTGTAGGTAGTTCAAAATATGATCATGTTACGCCAATTTTAAATGACCTCCATTGGCTTACAGTCAGGAAAAGAATTTATATAAACAGTGTATTCTAATGTACAAAGCTATTCACGGTTTGCTCCCAGAATATTTAGTGAAAAAAATTAAAATTAAACCAGTAATGTCGAGTGGTATGAACCTGAGATCAGACAATGGCATTATATTGGTTGTTCCTGATAATCAGTTACAGAAAGCATCAAGAGACATTGCAGTTTCAGGACTGGTTGCATGGAACAGTCTTCCGAGATCGTTGAGAGCACTGGGGATGAAATTTGAAGCTTTTAAGAAGAATTCTAAAACTCATTTATTTTTGTTATAATTATTTCTGTTACATTTTTTAATGTTTGCATTGCCGACTCACTTATATTTCATTTGTTTTTTATTGATATTAGATAGCGCTTTTGAGAATTTTAACTTTTAATTGGCGCTTTATAAACTTTTCTTTAATATTAATATTAATACTAATAATATATATATATATATATATTAGGGTGTCCCAGAAATGCACGGAAATTTATTTTTTAATTAGTTGATGTCTCACCCTCTGAAAAGTGTCTCTTGGGTACAATAATTAAATTGGTGAAGTTACAGCTCATTTGAACAAGTTTAAGAGGTTCCCCAAGGGCTTTTAAAATTTTACTATCAAGTTAATTCAAAATCCATATCAATAATCTTAAACAATATGCACAAAATGAGTGAAATAAAGCTAGAAATGCAAACTAGTTTAATTATCTCACTGCAGACATTAATTATAGTTTAAAATATTATTAACAATTACCTGTAGAATGATAATCTTTATTAGAGAATGCAAAAAATGTATATTTTTAACCAGTCAACTCGCTATGTTACTGGTCTCATCACTTGTTGATGGCACTACAAAACTTCTTGGAGTTCCAAGGTTAGCATCTGGATTAGGACGAGCAGCTGCTGATGCAGTTCATGAACAGATAAAATCTTGAAAGTGTGAATCAATGGTTATTGGCATGTGCTTTGACACGACAGCTTCCAATACTGGAAAACTCAATGGAGCTTGCACTCTTCTAGAAAAAGCCATGGGACGTAATTTAGTATGGATGGCTTGCCGTCATCATAAGTTTGAAGTGCTGCTTGCCGGTGTATATAGTGTTTGTCTTGGAACATCCACTGGACCAGAAATTTTATTCTTCAAAAGGTTTCGTGAAAAATGGACAGAAATGAATCACACACCAGAAGCCAGATCAACCCCTTTGATAATTGTTTCAGATGCAATTAAAGCATTCATCAAATGTCAACTTGAGGTCAGACATTCTCGAGATGGCTATTTAGAGTTTCTACTTCTTGCTGCACAAATAGCTGAACTGCAGGTTGATGTAGCCATTCGCAAACCTGGTGCACGGCACAGGGCACGATGGATGGCAAAAGCCATCTACGCATTAAAAATTGAAATATTATTCACCGTAAATAAAACCATTTTTAACTTAAACAGCTCGAGAATTACAAGGTATTCAACGTTTGAATCGGTTTATCATTTGTGTTTATCTTCAGTCATGGTTTTCATGCAGGCTCACTGCTGATGCACCTGTGAATGATATTTTGTTGATACAGCGTTTGCATGACTATGACGATGCAGTTCTTGGTTTGACGATTAAAAATGATGCTGCGTCATTTTTGGTACATGAGTCCAGAATTGGCAACTCTTGTTCTTTTTTCATCTCTCCTGTATGACAAAGAAAAGACTGATCTTGTCCGCACAATACAAGCAGATCGAGGCCCACATCTGATGAAAACACTACCACAAAGTTATGACAATTTGCGTGCGTCTAAAACATTTTTTGAAACATCTAATATTGATGCCAGTTTTCTTGATGTACATGTTGAAAACTGGTCAGATACTCCTTCTTTCCAAGTTACAGCAGTGTTTATAAAGAATCTGGTTTGTATCAATGACTCTGCAGAACGGGGAGTAGCGTTGGTACAACATTTCAATGAAACAATCACTAAAGACGCAGAGCAGAAACAATTTTTGCTTCAAGTAGTTGAACAGCATAGGAAAAACTTTGCAGAATATAATAGTGAACTGCTAGCAAAAATTTGAATTATTTGCATTAATTAATATTCAAGCGAACTGAAATTCAATAAATTCTTGTTTTTCAATCATTTTTGACCTAATTTTTGAAATTAAAAATAAAAGGCATTGCAGATTTATATATTTTTTCACAATTATATATTTTGTTTCATTTGTATAAACAAATCATAAAACATTTATAATCATATCATATAACACTGTATCAAAAGTTGGTAGCGAACGATCAAACACCAAAATCAGAAACTTTCGACCCCTTGGGGGACCTCTAAACATTGTCCAAATGGGCTAAAACTTAGCAGGTAAATTACTGTTACCATACAGACATATTTAATGGGGTGAGACATCAATATTTTAAAACTTCATATTTTTGGGACACCCTAATATATATATATTTTACAATATTCTATAAATTCTACCGAATGTTTGGCGTTAATATGTTTGTAGTTCGTTTTTTTTATTTTTCTCACTAAAGTTTTTTGGTGAACGTTTAGTTTATTAAAATTCAAAATAAACTTATTTTTCGAATTCATGCTGCAAATAAGGCCATATTTCGATTCCGAATGAATCATCATCAGTGCTCCTTGCTGTATATATATATAGGGAAATATTTTGTGAGAAAAAATCGAAAAAACGAACTACAAACATATTAACGCCAAACATTTGGTAGAATTTATAGAATATTGTAAAAATTATGGTCTATTACCAACATATATATATATATATATATATATATATATATATATATATATTTCTAATTCTCGAAAAATATATATATATATATATACATATATATATCGTACATCATATCATGATTGGTTACATGTCTTCTTATCTCCAACGCACTATGCTACTAATTCATTATCTCTACCGAGAATAACATGAATCAGACGTTTCAACGAGGCTGTCTTTCCCTCTCATGCATGGATGTGAGTACTTGAGTGGGCAGCAAACAACGTGTCCTGCCTCGCCTACTACAACGTATGAGATATTTATAATCATCCGCATCTGAATCGCATCGTCATCAGGCTACCGTTTAGTACGTGCAATTGTTATATATTCATCATGAAAGCATTCAAGTGGGATGAAAATAAGTGATCGCTGCCGTTATTAATGTCGTTAAGTTTATCAGTTCTCGTATCATGATGATTATTAAAATTGAACATCACTAAACATTATTAAATGTATTATTCATCAATCTCTTTCTTAGAAGTTATCATCATTTCTTCTTATTTTTTAACATCTTCATTGTTATATTTTCATTTTGAACTATTCTGATTTTATTTTGGATTTTTTGGCCAGTTTTTATTTTTCTTCTTCTTCTTGTTATTATTATTATTATTATTATTATTATTATTATTATTATTATTATTTGCATAAGAGATGTAGTGGTGTGAGGGGGGCACTGAAAAAGGTGTAAGGCACGTTCAAAACTAAGAAATGTTTTCATGGTGTGATTAATAGAACGGACTCAAGGACGGGGTTGAGTGGTGGTATTGAAAAAGTGGAAAGCTTTGTTTATTTAGGGGTTAAGCTGAACGCGGATGGAGGATGTTTGAGCGCTGTTACGGCTAGAGTTCGTGTGGGATGGATGAAATTTAGGAAACTTGTTGGGGTATTGTGTGGAAAGAAATGGTCAGTGAAGATGAAAAGGAGGGTATATAAAGCATGTGTGAGAGCAGCGATGGTATATGTTGGTGAAACTTGGGTGTTGAGGAGAAAGGAGGAAAGTGTACTGTAGAGGGCTGAAAGAGCTATAGTAAGGATGATGTGTGGGGTTAAAGTGAAGGATAGAAGGAGTAGTACAGAGCTGATGTCGATGATGGGACTGAATAAGGACATTGTGACATTGATAAGGAGATCGAGATTGCGGTGGTATGGACATGTGTTGAGAAGGGATGAAAGGGTCGGGATTAGGCAGGCGTTAGAGTTCGAGGTTGAAGGAGTGATAGGAAGGGGTCGTCCGCGACTGGGATGGAGAGAGCAGGTGGAGAAGGACAAAGTGAAAGTGGGTTGCGTGATACTGAGGTGAGTGACAGATGTGAATGGCGTCGAGGGGTATTTCGGTTTCATCATAGGTAGCCAAACGGCAACCCTCGATCTCGGGGGAAAATGTCGTCTAAACGTGTGTTGTTGTTGTTGTTATGGGATTGTTGTGGTTGGCGGTAGTGATGGTGCTGCTGTTCAAAGTACCGTTTGTCGTTGAGTTAGGTTGATGCAACCATTAGTAATAATACTAATAAAATTAATAATAAAAATAATATTCTGCTTTCTAAATTGTTGTCACCGGCAACAATATGGCCGTTGCAACGTCACAAATACTCCTCCCAACCCAGACATCGTCATCATCATCATCATCATCATCGTCATCATCATCATTCACGTTTCTTCAGCACAGTCATCTTCATCATCCTTTTTTTTATTTTTCTTCATCACCTTCATTTACTTTTCTATCATCATCAGCAGCATTTTCATCATCAACTCTATCATAATCAGCATTATCATTACAATCCTCAACATTTTAACGATAGTAAGCCACACCACCACCACACCACCCTCATCAGTATCAACATCGAAGCAAACAGCAGCTCATCGCATCTCAGAATGCAGATAAATAAGATTTCCTTCGAGCGAACTTGTTGAAACGCAAATATTTCTTCAGTGCACAACATGCTTCTTCTGATTGTATTCTTTCCGTTCAATGCTTTATTATCATCAGTCATTATTTTTTCATCATTGCGGTTGTTGATATTTTGTTTCAGTTCGGAGAAATAAAAAAATTATTATTAATGGAATCAATTTTTGGAATGTACGAATAGAGAAATATAACGTTACGTAGTTAATGTTTGCGGGCGCAAATACACTACTGCATAATGCATGGTGGTGCATGATGCATGGCGGTGCATGGTGATGTATGGCTTAATTGAATTACGATCTTTCAAATGAGCTGTTAATTGGCTGACGAGATGACTGATGGAGGATATAAAAAATTGTTCAGTAATAAACTTTGAAGCAAAATAGATGCTTGCTATGCAGAGTAAAGATGTTGAATGTTTTATCCGATGCATATCTTAAAGTGAAGATGTGTTTTCGACTTAATGTTGCGTTCAACGTACGATTCGTGGAAAGTTTTAATTTACTCTCAATGAATGTGTAGGCAGGCAGCAATGCATAGTTCTCAGTTGAATGTTCCTCACTCACTGCTGGAATTTCTCTAAAATATTTCACGTTATAAAAAGCATCAATTTTAAGACAAATTCTATTTATAGTTATGAACAAAAAACAACAAATACAAAAAATCAAATTGTAAAACTAAGGAGCACGTTAATAAAGAACAAAACAAACAAACAGCCAAACATCGTATAAAACATGTTTGCAATGGCAACAACGTGTCGGCGGAATTATAGAACACGAACATTGAACGTCTGCCTGCCTCGTTACACCTGTTAGCAGGCAGAGAAGCAACTAACTGTTGTTTGTAATTCAGTAAAAAGTACGCGTCAGTATTACAAGGATGCTCTCAGGAGCATTGAACAACACTTTGCATTTACCTCCTAATGGAATGATGAATAAAAGTGTTGTTAGTTGTGTCTTACAAATCTTACATTAAGCAAATTCTCATCAGATAGTTTTTATATTTTTGTGAAAAACTGCATTATTAATTACTTCCTCCGATTTCTGGGCAGTCTATTTTTATTTAAATTGTCGCAAACAAGATGTGGAATAAAATCTCATTGGTGCATTCTTTGTAATTGAAGATTATGCTTTTTTTATTATATTTCCTGTTAATTGTATTTGTTAGTTGAGCTGAAGAGACAGAATTCTTCAACTCCGACCAACCCCGACACTGCTCTTAACATTTTAAAATTGACAAGGTTAAATTTTGCCTAGAAAATTTTAATAATTTTATACTTTGTGCTATAACGATCTTTAATGTCACTATCATTATGTTTCCAAACTTGAACGTCCATGACATGACCAGCGCGGCGGGTCAGCTTTCTCGGCCACTTCTATTACGCACCTATCAATTTTCTAACGTTTGAATGAGAGATAATTATTAATTTCAACTTTTCAAATTCATTTTCAAACTCCGCTACCGGATCAAAACTTGTTTCTTCCTAATTTTCACATGAACGTATTCGAAGATGTTCACATATTCTTTTATTTTTATTATCTTTTTCATATTTAAATTTTCAATTCCATCCTAACAAATGAACATCTCCACTGTTTGTGTTTGATAGTTTTATTTGCAAGTGTTCAAACCTCAAATTCTTTTGAGCAAGCATCTGTTTGTAAGTCCTTTCCAATTGTAAACGAACTCAACTTCTCACAAACTGGTTTATCAAATTGAAAACATGTGCTGCAGCTCCTCAACACATCTCCACTCCACATCATTATGAAATTTCTTCACGTCCACCAACATCCGTTATTCCACTTTTATTTAAATTTCATCTCAAGATCACAAAAATTATGAAATACAAAAATTGACCATATAGGTCAAGTGTGTGAGTGTTATAGTTGTTAAATGAAATTGTAGATTGATATTTATAAAATCTCTATTAGTGTGGAGCAGAGGGAAGGGAAGGACGCATTCAATCACCCTGCCTCCTACAATGTATGACCCCGCTAACAAGTTTCTTATCGACTAAAGATTGTTTTTAGAAATGTTTATAAGCAACTTAATTAAATATTGCAGCAAAAATGTTTTTGAAATAATTTATTCTAACATTATTAACTATATTTAATATTTAATGAGACATATATGGATAATATTTTATATAAAAATCATTTTTTAAACACGTTAAAATGGCTAAAAACTTGGTGATTTTTACAAAAAATTTCTTCAGTGGAAGATACAGGAGATAGTAAAGTAAATGGGAATTAACAAAAAAGGTCAACTAACAATTTTGAAATCATCTCTACCGAAAAATTCTGGATCTGCCACTGATATTGTTCTATTTGTCACAAAATGACTTTATTTACGAAGTATAGCCTGATCAATATATGCGTAG